TTTGTCAGTCCTGAAAATCCCCCGTTTTTATGAGCAGTCTTTGAAAGTGAATTTGAAATGCATTTATGGAACGAGAGGCAGCCAAATCCTTTGGCTTCTTTCTTCAATTTATTCAGAAGCAGATCCCCAGAACCAAAGATCTATCCATCCTTTAACAGCCACTTTCCTCTTATTTAACCAACAAACAACACAGTGTTTTGCTCTACACCCCTGAATTCAGATTTGGTTTCCACAACACATTAAATAACCTCTTGTTTTCCGTTCTACCTTTCCTATTGGTAAGAAATAATGAGAGCATTATTATTTAACTATCGCCACTGAAAGCAATGTCAGATTTCAGTAATCTAAACCTATACTGCCTTAAACTGAGATTATTTGAAATAAGATCTTCCCTCTCCAGTAACAGACACCTGGAGAAGAAGGTTGTGGGGCTATAGATAGAGGAGCATATACATGTACAGTTATGATTCTTGGGTAATCATCAGCTTTTTTTTTTCTGGAAGGACACAGGACATTGTTAGTAATGGTAAAATAAGAAGTAGCTGGTTATTGAGGCGAGGGAAAAGATTTTTATATTTTATACCTTTCTATACTATCTTATTTTTAAAAGAAGCACATACTTGTATTTAATAAGTAAGGGGGAAAATTAAGAAGGTGGAAGAAGAAGAAATGAAACCACTTTGTATGAGGTCCCGAAGCTCCGAATTTAACTTCTGGATGTCTTCCTCAGTGGAAATTCTGGTTTTTATAAATCCTCAGATCAAAACCTATAGGAACACATGTTTAGCATACGTTATGTGTATCCTCCATGGTTTTATGTAACTTATGCAGGATGCCAACGACCTCTTTGAGCCTCCCAGTGGCATTGTCCAATATGCTAGATGATTCTCATTTTGCAGGAAGTTGGGGGTCACTTAAGCGTGGGGAAGATAGGTGGCTTGTCCAAGATGACGTAGTCACTACCTAGGATATCCAGAACTACAACCCAAGTTCAATTCCAAGTTGGACTCTTTTAGCCCTGATAGAAAGAAATTTACTATTTATTCTGGACATTCTTTTTTAAACACTCCAAGCTGCCTTCTCTCTGGTTTCATGCCATAGCATCTGTTTCATTCTGTCTTAAATCATGGTTAGCTATATAATTGTTTCCCTCATTAATTTTATCAGCATAGGCTTTCTCTCTTCTCTTTGTGTCCTTACTGTGTCTAGCACGTGATGGTGCATATATTAGTTACTTAATCTTTGTTTTATGAAACTGGAGACTTTCTCCCAAATAATTATCCATTTTTAGGAAAAACAAACTAATAAACTTAGCCATTTCCACAAGACTAATGCCATTGCCCATGAGAGAATTGGAACCACATGATGTTTGAGCTGGAAGAAAACCATCTTTGCAAGTGTTTATTCTCTTGTTTTATAAACGAGGAACCCACAGATCAAATAACGTGCTCAGGATCACACAGGGAATTGGTGTTGGTGCAGAGAGCCCAGTTCCCCTAACTTCCAGCCCATCCCTCCTCCTGCTGCAACAACCATTGCAGAGAACGAGTCTCTGGGTCATCAGACCTTTAGACAAATGGCTGGTGCTGCCAAAGACTAGGTCGCACTGAATTGAAACCCCAACCGTGGGAAGAAGAGGTATTGTGCTTATTTCTCCAAGTTTTAATGAGTGGTTTTTCTGGTGTACCTCTTTTTAAAGCAAACTTGTGTCAGCATTTCTGCCAAGGGGCAGATAGCAGGAATCCTTTAGATGAGAAGTATCTCAACCATGTACTTTAGATATAGAGTAAAATTATCCTCACTTGTTGGGTAAGGCAAGTCACACAGCATCACAGCTGTGCAATGAGGAATCAACAGTGTTTTCTATTTTATACTCTGGCTTCTTAAAACGTCAGCCCTGTCTGGTCAGGTGAAGGAGCCAGTACCTCCCTCTTCAGCGGGGAGTGGAGAGTCCTCCAATTTCTAAATCCACTCCTGGGCACCTGAGTGCCCCAATATCACTTCCACTTTTCAAACATGATGAGAAGGGAGCTGGGAAGATAGTTTTGTCTGAAGCCGCCCAAAAGAGCAACAGAAGAAATTTCAAAGAAGAAGTCAGTCCCCAAAGTGTGGGGACAGCGGGAGCCCTGGATCGGATTCATAGGTGAGAAGGCAGAATGCAGTGTCATGAATTAAGTACCTTTTGGACCAACCCCTGGTGGATCCAGTAGGCATGGTTGTAAAGGACATTGTGGTAAAGGGTGTCTGCATATTCGGTTTAATAAATGTGTAAGGTAGGTGCTAGAGGACGCTTACAAGTAAAAGAGCAGAAGACTGTCCTGGAGTTTGGCATCTGTGCAGTGCTTTCCACGCTTTTCTGCACATTGGACTCATCAAGGGAGCGTCAGAAAAAACATGTACTGATGTCTGTGCCCATACTACCATCCCAGAGCTGATTGGTTTACATATGGCCTGAGCTTTGGAATTTTTAGAGATGATTCCAAAGTGCAGATGAATTTGGAAACCAATTCTGTATGGAGTGGTTTTGCTAAATTTGTATTAGCATCACCTGGAGGCTTTATATAATATAGATAAATATATGCATATGTATATATTTTCATGCGTCTATGCATGTATATGCATGTACACATACATACACACATATGTACATCACATGCATGTGTGTATGTGTTATACACATATGCCCAGGCTCTAGTCCTAGAGACTGATCTATGGCATTTGGGATGGGGTTCAGACATCAATATTATTTAAAACCATTGTTTCCAAAATTGGTTGCACATTGGGGTTATCTGGAGAGTTTAAAGAATACTGATGCCAGGGTCCCACTCCAGAAATTCTGGTTTAATTAGTTTGAGATCTGGTCTGGGCATCAGAATTTTTTCAAAGCTCTTTATGTGATTCTAATACGCAGCCTTATGTAATCCATAAGGTAAGTGAGTGAAACCTGGCTTATCTTGCATATAGTAGGTAGGTGCTCAATAAAAATTAAGTGTGGAATGAAAGATAGATGGAAGTGTTTCTAAGAAATGTCAGTGTTAAAAAGTTGCACATTGCTTGTTCTTTGTGCACTTCCATTGGCCAGAAAATATGCTGGGATTTGGGGTGGGGTGCGCTGCAAAAACCTAATGAATTTGGCTCACTACCATTGCCTTAGCTCTGGCTCCCAGGGGAACTTGCAGTGGACCTGACGGCTGAGATCTTCCTCGGCTGTTGCTCTGTTCCTTTGTACAACATCTACCTGTGGCAGGGGTGGCAGATCTGGCCGTCACAGTTCTGATGTGTGCAACATAGTTCTTTGGAGAAAAAGAAACCTGCTTCTGTAAGATCAGGAGATGGCTTTAGCATGCACTGAACTCCGTCCTATGCAGCAAGCCTCTGCAAGAGTCCTCCCACTGCCCAGGGTTAGTAAGAACTCCCTAGAGCACGAAGCACGAGTGTGTTGCCTAGTTTCCTTTGTTCCCTAGGTGATTCTTGTTTATTCCAAGGGGTACTGGTAGGGGAAGCATTTCCGCATCTGGCCCAGTGAAGGCAGCTGCTTTCAGCTGTGGGGAGGCTCCACCAGCCTGGAAAGGGGAAATTGCCAGGCAGAGAGTTCACAGCAGCTGCTTTCAGAGCAGGATCTGAACTGTTTCTAATGGTCTTTGAAGGCCCTAGGGCACTGGTCCTCAAACCTGAGTGTGCCCCAGAACCCCCTGGAGGTGTGTTAAACTACAGCTTGCTGGGGCAGTGCCCAGAATTCTGATTCAGTAGGATTGGATGGGGCCCCTAAATTTGCATGTCTAACACTGTCCTGGGTGATGCTTGTTGCTCATGGTCCAGAGACCGTCCTCTGGAACCACTGCTCAAGGAGGAAGGATGCAGATGATTCCCATGTTGTTTAGGGAAAAAGACATTATCTGACTGCTGCAAATCTACCTAATGGTCACAAGGCCAGGAACTGAAATGACTCCCCCCCCAACTATACTGATAGATTGATTTTTTAAAAAAGTTATGAAACGCCTGTTACATACTAGGGGTTGTATAAGCTTTGTTACTGTAAAGAGGAGGAAAACACAGTTTCTCACTAAGCGGCTAGTCTGGGGCTGGATGGGCAATGGACCAGTAAGACAGTCACCATGCCAGTCCCTAGTGCTCTGCAGAGGGAATGCCCATCATTCCATGGGACACACATGGGCAGGAGGGAGGGTGGCTCTGAGGAGGCTTCCAGGAGCAGGCGGTGCCAGGGCAGAATCTTGCAGAATGACTGGGGGTTTGCCAGTTGAGGAAAGTGGTCAGTGCCCCAGGAGTAGCATGGATGAGGGTGACAGAACATACCATGAACAAGCCTGGTGCAGGGAGCCACTCATGGTTTAGGGTGATGGATGAAGAGTTTGATGGGGAGAGTGAGCTTAGTGTGGACAGACAGGCAGAGCAGGATCTTGGGGGACCGTTCTCCACAAAGAGGTGTCTGAACTGATCTGAAAGGCAAGAAGAGTCATTAAGGGATTTATGGCAGGTGAGGAGTGTGATTGGATTTGCCTAGAGGGAGCGTGTTCCTACAGGAGACACCGTAGACTGTTCCTGGAGGCCCCTTGGGAAGTGATGAGGCCACGGGGGATGTGGCCTTCACGTCATCTTGTCCTTGCATCACCCTCTGTCTCTGCTCAGCGTTGCAAACTTTTCAAAGCCATCTCCAATGGTGCGTTGACTAGCTTTTGGAGCATCTACAGTGTGTGCTTTCAGAGTGGAACCAGGCAATTACTCCTGTGCTTTTCCTACGCAGATATTATTTTTCAGGAATAATTAAGAGAAGATGAATGTCAAGGGTAACCTTGAAGCAGGCAAACCTAAAAAAGGCAACTATAAGAGGGGCCTGTGTAGGAGGGAGGGGGGCTGGCCCACCTACTCAGCCTGGATGAGGTTGGGGAGGGATGTTCTTTGCATGTTGTGTATCTATTGTATTGCTCTGATTTTTAACATTTATTTATTTTTATTTTTGACTTCTTCCTGAGAGCCATGCTTTTCTCTCCTGTTTCTCCCGAGTCATAGTCCAGCCACTTGCTGGCAGCCCCATCTCCCTGCCCTCCAGCCCTTCAGCGTGGGGGGCGTTGCTGCCCAGGGCAGTCTCCTAAGTTCACGGTGCCCTCAAGATGGCTCTGATGCTGGGCATTATGGATGGACAGGGATGTCCGAAGCAGATAAAGCCCTTTGCTGTCAGTTGTAAGCGAGTCATGCATGGAGAAAATGACAGAGAAAGCTGAGGTGAACTAATGGTACATGGGGCAAATGCAGAAGGAGTTGGGGGAGTGAGTTCTCCTCTGTCCCTGGTCCATCTTTAAAAAAAAAACAAACCCCAACAGTGATGGATTTCACTTGTGGTGCATCTCACTTCACCTAATAATGGGAATGTGATTTGTGGTTTCCCCTTCAAGGGCTCTTCATCACACTGTAATTGATACATTTCCAACAAGCGACTCTTGAGGAATTCAATTCTTACAGTTCTCGGCTGTACCCAGAGAGCCTCCTGGGGATTTTTGTAGGCTCCATGTCGCCTGTCGCACCCCTTCCTCCTTCAGGCCATGGGGTTGCACCAGTGGTCGAGGTAGGGGCTTCCTCCGAAGCCTGAGTGGGCTGCTGCTAGAGAGGCAGGCGTGGCCCTGAACAGGCTGATGACCAGCGTCCGTGAGCAGTTTGTGCCGTGAGGCCGTGGCAGCAAGATGGATAGGTCAGCTATGTCAAGGTGGCTTTGTTGCTTCAAACCAGCACCGCAGGTGTGGGAGGAGAGGGCAGGAGGGGGAGCCGGCCGTCTGCCTCCGGTGGGAAGGGTGGGTAAGAGCAGAAAGTAATGGGCATAATCCATTGTCAATGTTTGCCCTAGTGGCTGGTCAGGGCAGGAGAGATGCTGTCCCAAGAGACACAGCCTAAATGACTCACTGAGGACTGTCCAGGGATTTGGCTAATGATTCAGTTGGGATTCTCTTGCTAGAGAGTCTCAAACAGTGTTTGGCCAGACGTCCAAGGAAATTTGTATTGGCCTGTGGCTGGCCTCGCAGAGGTGCCTGTCTCCTGATTCTGCCTGCCGTTTGTCTCTGAATGAAGCGCGCTGTAGGGTGGGTACCATCTCGGAAGTCTGTTCTTGGATCATTTGAGGGGGACTCTCCCTTGTCTGTCCCTCTCTTGCATGGTGTTTACTGTCAGCCCTGCTCCGCGGATCAGCACTGGAATAGAAACTGTCTTATTCTCTAATGGCGTTGACTGTGCTAGTCTTGTCTCTTTGGATGCATAGTAAACCTTAAGAGCAGGAAGAGAAACTGGTTACAGAACTTCTTTTGTATCACCCTCTGACTTTCCATTTTGCTTACTGTTGTGCAGTAGCTGTTGTATAACTGGATGCTTGATTGAGGTGCCAAAATTTCCCTTGGCTTTGAGTCAACTCATTATCTGAACACATCTACCTTTCCAGTATCCATCAAGTACTGCTCGTGGGCCTTTTGCCTCATCCTCACCCAGTAGGGAAATTAGATGCATTTATTATTCATCATTCACTCATGGGCAATAAGGGTTATACTTTGCATATTCACTCTGGGTCCTCCCAATGTTCCAAAACTATATTAGTGTCTCTCCTTAAAAAGTGAGGAAATAAGATGCATTACAATAATTAACTATCCCTGTGTTACAAACTGTTCTACACTTTAAAAGCTTAAACCAGTAAACATCTGTTGTCTTATAGTTTCTATGGGTCTGGGATTTGGAAGCAGCTCGGCTGGGTGGTTCTAGCTTAAGGTCTCTCATGAAGTCGTGGCCATGATGTTGGTTAGGGGTAGAGATCTCAGAAGGCTTGCCTTGGGCAGAAGAGTCTGCTTCCAAGTTCACTCTTATGGCTATTGGTGATAGGCCTCAGTTCCTTTCTGTGTGGCCCCGTCTCCAGAGGGCCACACGACACAGCACCTGGCCTCCCCCAGAGCAAGTGACCCAAGAGACAGCAACCAGGACTTTACAGGGCCTTTGATGACCTAGACTCTGAAGCCGCGTGTGATCAGTCCCTTTTACCCCTGTTTATTAGAAGTGAGTCATGAGGTCCAGCCCACACTCAAAGGGAAAGGAGTATCAGATAAATTGTGAACATATTTTAAACATCACTTAAAGTATGGCTCCTGGGTCTGACCAAATGGATGAGCAGAGATGGCTGAGTCCCCCTCTGCTAAGGACTCACTTTCTCACGTGGCCTTGGGGTCTCCCTGGGAAACTCTACTAGCCTATGGGTTGAGGGTGGAAAAGGATCCCCAGTTACAGAATTTAGTCTGACAACTGTTATTGGCCAGGATGTTATAAAGGCCTCATAATGTTCAGTACAGTTACTCCAGGCAAGTACTTCTGTATATTTGTGGAAATAGAAACTTACCTTCATTTTTAATTTAATCTTTACTTTTGGGATTTTGGCGACTCTGTTTATAGACTGTAGCCATCTGGTGGTGGCATCCTTAAATTGCAGTGTTCTTTTCAGTCAATAGGGTGATTTTATTTCCATCTTACAGGCAGAAGAGACTGACTGTCTTGCCCAAAGTCTGGAGTAAGTCAAAAGGGCGTGAGAGAGAGCTGGAGTGTAGGCCTCCGGGTCTGCACCGGAGCTCCTCTCCCATCCCACTAGGTGTGGCCCCTACTTGAAGGTGCGGTAGATGCTTTCAAAGAGTGTTTGTCAGGAGCAGTGGGAAGTAGGAGCACACGGAGACTACTGAACTTTCCTAGACAACTACTGAATGCAGGATTTGGGCTATTTTCTACACAGAAGGGTTTGGAATTCTCTGTCTAGATGGCTGATGATACCATTACACCAGTATTTCTGAGTTCTCTTTGGTGGTAGATGAAGAGTCACAGCTATCCCAGTTACTTACTGCTGCATAACAAACCACCCCAAAATATGGTGTCTTAACTCAACAATGACTGATTATTTCTCATAATCATGTCATCTGGGCCGTGCTTGGCTGGGTGATTCTCCTGCTCTGTGCGGCATCAAACGGGACTCCTCATGTGGCTGCTCTTGGCTGCTGACTGGGCCGGGCCAGCCAGAAGGTCCCAGGCTTTGCTCACGTGCCTCTCGCCAATGTGTGGTCTCTCTCTGTGTCTGGCTCGGGCTTCCTTACAGCGTGGTGGTCTCAGGGTAGGTGGACTTCTTAGGTAGAGACTGGCATCTGAGGGAGTAAGCAGAAGTTGTCAGCTCTCTTAAGACCCAGACTCAGAAGTCTCAGAATGAACGTCATCTCCACCACCTTCTCTGGGTCAAAGCGAGTCACAGGCCAGCCCAGACTGACAGGCAGCACAGACTCCACTTCTGGATGTGGGGGGTGGCTTGCCTGTGCAATGGGAGGAGTTGGTGGTGGCCAAATGTGGAGTCTGCCCACTACAATAACGTTCACGTGTCTACTTGCTGAGAGAAACTCAGGTATTTTTTTAAAAAATCCTCACCTGAGAATGTGTTTATTGATTTGAGAGACAGAAACATCAATGTGACAGAGGAACTTTGATTGGTTGTCTCCTGTACGTGCCCTGATGGGGGATTGAACACACAACCTAGGTATGTGTCCTGATGAAGGATTGAACCTGCAACCTTTTAGCATATGGGATAATGCTCCAACAAATTGAACCACCCAGCCAGGGTGAAACTCAGACATTTTTACTAGTAAGCCCAATCTATAGATACAAAGAAGACTATTTGTTAAATCCACTTAACACGCATGAAACATTTGCGAAAATTCAGGAACAGAACATTCAGTCCAGTGTGAGTGTAAGCCAGAGGAACAGTCCCGGAATGTGGGACCTCTGCCTGTTGACAGTCCAGACCCTGTTTGGGGTCCTCTCTGGGATGGTCCATAGCTCCAGGAACCATGGCCTTGGTGCAGAAGATGACTTTATGCATCCAACCCAAACTCAATTCAGACAGACATTTATGGATGGAGAAGAACAAATTCAAGATATGGCCCAAGAGTTAGCCCATTAGATGATAGAAACATATGAATTCTAAATTTTATAATAATGATGTGTCCAAAGCCTTTTGGAGCCAAATGTGTTTCAAATTCAAATAATATGGTCAAATAGGCACTTCTTCAGTTGCTTGTGGCTAGAAAATGGTTTTCTCTTTTAGTTTCTGTCCATCCACTCAACCACATTCTTCTTTCCTGAACAAGCTTTTGTTAGCTCGTGCACGCATTGAGAGAATTGGGTACACAGGCATTCAAATTGCAATTGACCGAGAACTCCCAGCTGGAGCTTCTATTTTTCTGTGTGGTTGTCCTCTCACCTGCAAATTTGCATTGCCAACATATTTGTAGAGCTCTTTGTTTTTTCAGAGAGCTTTCAGATGCATTATTACATTTCATTTTCATGGCAACTCCTTAAGACAACACTGAGTAAGATTGCTCTCTTGTAGAAAGAAGGAACCGGAAATCCAGGAATGTTAAGAATTTGGTCAAGCAGTGGCAAAGCCAGAACTTAAGTCCTCTGTAGCAGTGTTTTTGCCTTTGCACACTTCCAGCTTGTAAAATGCTTACCCTAATGCCCACGGAAGGGTGCCTCGCTGTGATGAGAAAGGAGCAATTCTTGGAACTAAAGCACCTGTTAATAGCTTACGAATGGCCTTGGTCTTGAAGTTAAGATGCAAAGATACGCATTTTTTAACTTGAATTCCAGTTAGTGGTATAAAAACTTGCTGTTTGCAGCCAGTGGCAGGACCACCAGGAAATGTGTTTTTGCCTAGCCCTGGCAGTGGCTTTCTCTTTGTAGGGCATTTGAGTTCATTCATTCATGGACCTGAGCATTATGTAGGAGGGATATGGGGCAGTGTAGGGTCCTGTTAGCAGTCATATGGACCTGTAAATCCAACTCGGAGCACCTCACAGAAGTTAAGGAGGAAATTTCCTCAATTGCAACTAATGGGCTTTCTTGCTGTGCTGAAATTAGAGCAGACAGGCAAACACAGGTATGTCACTGGAGTGGAATGATAATGTTGCATCAGGTGGGAAAATTCTAGTGTGGACTGGCCATACTGTTGCCCTTGGAGTTCTTGGACGATGTGTTCTGGTTTGTGGGGGGCAGTCTCAGTATAGTTTGTGGTCCTTGCATAATCATTAAAGTCTCCTTTTACTGTCATAAATGTCCAGGTTTAGATGGAAAGTTACATGGTCCCTCAGAGCATGGAGCTCAGCACTGAGTGGGCGCTAAGCAGGTTATTTCTCATCTGCAGAGAAATAAGCACACGGACTATGTTTTATGCTTTTAACAAACTTACTCTTGACAGTAGAGATCCAAATCAGGACCTTTTCCTTGAGTAAGCTTTTTTTTTTAAAGTAATGATGGTTATTCAAATTCATATTGGCACCCTCAGTGGCCTGACTTCTGCTGGCTTTGGATTTGGTGTAGCTCATAGGGAAAGAAGCCCTTGGTTCTTGATAGTTGAATCAGTAAAATCTTCCCAATAATATTGTCCACTGTATTTATAAGTTCGCAAATCATTTCTCATGTATGACTTTATCTCATAGCAACCCCGATCAGTGGGAGAGTCTGGGGAACAAGATAGACAGAGAGAATCTCACAGCTCATTAATAAGACTACAGAAACTGGAACCTAGGCTTCCCACCTTCTGATTCTACATACTTCCCTAATCCTACCTCTTGTATGTGATCCCAACAGCTGTATCTGGCCAAAGCCATGCCCATTTAGGATGTTTCTTTTAATACCTAGTAACATTTAGGGTGCAAACTGATGAAGATGTAGCATGCTGACCTAGGTGACAATGTAGAATTCAATTACTCGAAGATGTGCATTGTTCCTAGTTTCTTCATTCAGTGTGTCCAAGGAGCTGCCCCATTAAACAAGCCTTTTATTTGTTTAGTGCTTTTCTGGTCTATAAAGTACTTTATCTGTTTGCAGCATCTCTTTGATGGATGGGAAGCATAAGGCACAGGTACCTGTTAGAGGTCTTGGTGTTACCATTTTTTTTCCTAACAGAGGATAAAAAGCTCAGAAAGATTAAGTGGGTTGTTCAAGGTGACACATCAGCCGTGTGTGACTGAGTGCCCAAGTATTTCTGACATGTGACCCCTCACTGGCCCCTCATTCCTGATTTCAGAGTTTCTCCAGCAAGTTACCAAACTTGGGAGACAGGTTTTCATTCTAGGGCAGAGGGTTCCTAATGAGCACCTCACGAGATGCTGGGATTGATTCTCCTCTGTGAAGAGAGAGAAGTACAATCTCTGATCATGACCGTGGTGAGAAATGCAGCAGCCTCTTGTAGGGCATGACTGATTTTAATTGACCCAAAGGGCCTGGGAAGTTAATTAAGCAGCTCATTTCCATTTGGGGCTAAGTGGACAGAAGGCACTGAGAGAAGGGCAAAGGACTTAGGAATGAACGTTTTTTTAAGGTTTGCAGGCCCCGCCTGTCATGAATAAGAAATGCTGCTGGGAAAACTAGCAGTGTTTGCCGGGAGGCCCAGCAGAGGGTCAAACAGACGTGGCAAGTGGCTCCGTCTATAGGGAAGCTGTGTTCTCTTCTTTATTTGGAGCAAGAAGGGTTTGAGGGATAAGAAGTTTTAGACAAGTACAAATCCATGAAGACCAGAGCTGGAGAAGAAACAGTCCCTGATGTGGAACTAAGGACAAAAATACCCATCTTCGCCCTGGCTGGTGTAGCTCAGTGGATTGAGTGTGGGCCTGTGAACCAAAGGATCGAGGTTTGATTCCCAGTCAGGGCACATGCCTGGGTTGCAGTCCAGTTCCCAGCAGGGGACGCACGAGAGGCAACCATACATTGATATTTCTCTCCCTCTCCCCTTCCCTTCCCTTCTAAAGATAAGTAAAATGTTAAAAAAAATACCCACCTTCTTTGAGGCAGAATAATGCCATTCCTCCTTTGATGGATCTCAGGGGAATTGAACACTGGATCCCACAGATGGGGAAGCAACCAGCTCATGTTGTGAGCAAATTAATCGTTAACTCCTCTTGGTGTCTTTCTTCTTTCTTTCTCTCTCTTTTTTCCCCCATCACTCTTGTATGAATGGGGCACAGACTGGTTTAGGTTTCCTTACATCACTTAGAGACTTTTGTTTCCAAGCAGGTTGGGGATTTATTGATTGAAGGAAGTGAGAATGTAGATCGATTCATTGAGGCAAGAAGGCTGCCGTGCCTGTTATTTTCTGCATAACTTCTGAAGGAGCTGACTTAGAATCATTGGATCTTCAAGCTGAACAAAGGAACTTCAGAGACTGTGCAGTCCAACTTTTCATTTGAGGCAGGAATCTTCTCCGCAGCTACATGCAGAGATGGCAGTTCAGACATTTTCGAAACACTTTCAAAAAAAGGAATTTACTTACTCACAAGACTGCTCAGTCCTTTTCTAATTTTTTTAACCTATTAATCCTTACATGGCACCTGCTATGTTCCAGACATACATTGTGTGAATCCTTTACAGTTACGAGTCATTGATCCAGCATGACCTTGATTCCTATTTTACAGATGAAGAAATTCAGACACAGAGAGGTTAAGTAACCTGCCCACAGCCACAGAGCTGGTAAGTGACAGAGATGGGATTGGAACCCAGGCAGCGTGACTCTATAGTCAGTGCATTTAATCACCAGCTTTGCTACCTTTCTGTGAAAACATCTCTAGTAATTAATGTGTTTTTTTCTCATTTTGCATCAAAATTGTCCCCTTACAGTTTCTGCCCTGGTGTCCTTCACACAATGATTCATCAAGTATTTTCAGACACAGTGTCATGTCTTCCTGTCACTTTTCTTCCCTAGGATGGCAGTCTTTAGTTCACTCACACATTTCTCACATGGTGTGATTTCCATGCTCCTGGTGCTTCCCCTGGCTGTGTGTCAAGTTCAGATAGCCTGGTGAAAAGTGCCCGAGATTTGAGGTCAAACCCAACTGGGCTGGCATCTCAGCCCCTTTACTTACTAGCTATATATACTTGAGCAGATACTTCATCAGTCTTCCAAGAAGAGGACCCTATGTTTGTGAAATGGGACTAATTCTAAGCTTCTTGGGTCATTGTAAAGATGAGCAAATGGCAAGATTCATAGTGTGAACTCCATAAAGGTTAACTATTATTCTTGTTTTAACTGTGTAACTAGCTACAATGACAACCGTATTCATTCCCTCCAAATTGACCTGTACCTTTAAAAATCTCAATCAAAACCATAGCAGGTTAATTTGAAGAAATTGACAAGGTGATCTAGAAATAAAATGCTAATTTAAAGGTTGTAAAATAGCAAAAACAATATTGAAAATGAGAAACCAAGTTAGAGGACTCATACTATCTGATTTCAAGATTTACTTTAAAACTATAGGAACAAAGATAGCATGATACTGGCATAAAGACAGGCAAATAGATCAATGAAACAGAACTGAATCTAGAAATAGACCCACACGTGTACAGTTAAGTGCTTTTTTGACAAAGATGTGAAGTTAATTCAACAAGAAAGAGTTTTGAACAGATGGTGCTAGAAAAACATGAATATCTGTTTGCAAATAAGATAGTCCTCCATCTCAGCTCTGCTGTACACATCAAAACTACTCGGAGTTACATCATAGATGTAATGTGAAAGTAAAACATAAAATTTCAAAAAGAAAACATAGAAGACTTTGGGTTAGTCAGAGATTAGGATACAAAAAGTACTGACCAAAAAAGGATATATTTGACTTTATCAAAATTGGATCTTTCTATTCATGAAGAGACGCTGTTTGTTGATGAAGAAAATGAGTAGGCGGTCTACAGACTGCAAGAAAATATCTGCAACATGAGATTAAATAAGACTTGAAATGTAATAGTTAAAGAACTCCTACAACAAATCAATAATAAAACACAAACAACCCAGTGGAAACCATGGGAAAAAGACGTGAATAGATATTTGACAAAAGAAAATATACAAATTACCAGTAAGGGATTTACATCATTTATCATAAGGGAAATGCAAGTTAAAAGAACAGTGAGAAACTATGTACAATCACTAGAATATCTAAAATCAGAAAGACTGGCAATACCAAATGTTGGCAAGAATATGGAATATTCCGGGACACTCATACAGTACTGATGGATTGTAAAGTTATACAGCCATCTTGGAGAACTGTTGGCAGTTCTGACTCAGGCATACCTCTGCCTTATCACCACACTATTTCACTCTTAGTTCCTTACACAAGAGAAGGGTAAACATGCCCATAAAAAGACTCATATGAGAATGTGCATAGCAGCTTTATTCATGACAGTCCTAACCTGGAATCAACCCCGTCAACTGGGAGTGGTAAGTATATTGTCATATGATCATGGAAGATGGAAGAGTACTCAGCAATAAAGAAGGAATGAAATGCTGACCCATGCAATAGAATCTCGAAAACATATTAGCCAGTGAAAAAAATCCAGGAAAAAAAAGAATACTTCCTAAGTGATTCTATGCATATGAAGTTCAAGAACAGACAAAACTAACATATGGTGATAGAAACCAGAGCAGTGGTTGCCTTTGTGAGTAGTGGATGAGAATGGACTGAAAGGGGGCATGAGAAGACATTCTAGGGTAACAGAAACATTCTGTATCTTGATTGGGGTGATGGTTATATAGGTGGACATGGTCTTTACGTCAGATACTTAAGATCTGTGTCGATTCGACTTAGCTGTTAAATACTAATGAAGATGCCATCTAAACCCTAAGACAGACACTTGTTTGAGAAGGCGTACCTAGGTCGCCCTGGGACTCCATCTGAGCCCGACTCTGTATAGACACTTCTTTGGGCCATGACGTCCTCATCTGAAAATTTAGATTAATGATGTTTTTCTATTTCAAGATTATTGATAATGTTGAATGAGATATTAAATAGAGCTATGAAAATGTATACAAGTGGTATGACGTTAGAAAGCATTGCTAGTTAAGGCCGTCCTATGACTTCTTGGAGAAATTGAGCTCATGGGGAAGAAAGAAAAGTATAGTAGAGTTTGGGACCACAGAGCAACCTTTTCAGTCCCTCTGTGTTAGAAAATTCACCTTTAGTCATCCATTCTTCATGGTCCCTCCCCTCCTGGCTGAAACCGCCTGAAAAATGTTAGACCTTGAAACTTGAGCTTCTAAATCGAGTTAACTGACTTCAGTGTTAAACATCTACTGCATGTCAAGCACTGTGGAGGTTATAAAAATGAGTAAGAAATAGCTCCTGCCCTCCGGGAATTCACACCTGGGTCAGATGCCTTCAGGACAAGAATCCCGCACAAACTGTGCCTCCCTGTTCCATTCCCTAACCGCCACTACTGGTCTTCTTCCCAGGTCATCTCAGTTTGGCCAGTCTCTGCCCTCTCTCACACATTTAATAATGCCTTCCCGAGTTTCCTCTCACAGTGAATAGTGGCCCAGCCAGGAAAGAATTCTTTTATGACTTCCTCAGATGGGACAAAAAAAATCAATTGCTGCATTTTTTGAAAGAGTCATAGGCAAACTTGATATTGTGTTCTCAATTTATGGATGGCTTTTGTTTTAAAAATTGCCATACCCATTTATCTTCATAATTCTTGCCTTAAAAGCTGACTGTTTTAAAAACAAATGCCACCATTTATTTGGATTTTACTTAATGTCCTTATTCTATTCCAGGATTCATTCCTGGGCATGACACCATACTCAGTTGTCATGTCTCCTCAGCCTCCTGTGGTCTGTGACAGTTTCTTGGTCTTTCTTTGTTTAGTCATGCCCTTGGCAGTCTAGTCCTGTAGCACGTTGCCTGAGCTGGGTGTCCCTGATGGTGTTCTCATGATCAGACTGGGGTTTTTAGAAAGAACATAGAATTGAGGTCTTCTCTTGATATCCTCTCAGGGATATAAGACATCCACAGACATCACTGATTATGTTAATCCTTGACCACTTCATTAAGGAGGCGATTTCTAGATTTTTCCACTGTTGGGCACACCCTAAATGTATCTACATATCTTATTCGGATGAATCTTTTTTTGAACAGAATTAATATTCAGCCTCTGTACTACAGTACAATCCAACTTGGTGCTACATTTCATCCTTGCTTCGTGCTTTGAGAACACTAGCTAATTAATCCTAATTAGACATTACAGCTGAATCTCACTAATTCTCACTTCACTGATCTGTAAATAGAAGTCTGTCTAAAAACCCATCAGTCTTCACTTCACTTCTAAGCTGAAATTTGTATAGCTGCGAGTGGAGGTATCAGTGAAGTCTGTCCCCTACGGTTGTGTTTCTAAAGAGCCTATCTACAGAGCCTCAGCTCGAGTAACTCTCCACAGATATTTTACTTTGTATTTTCTGCTTTCCTGTGGAACGTAATCCTAAGTTATTTCAAAGAATATGTTTGGTAAAAATGGCCTTGGATTTTAATCTATTTATTATATTGCAATACAACCTCTAATTGGAACACATTTCTCTAAGGACTGCAAAGCCGATTATGATATTTAATTAGGAAATGTCTGCATTCTCAAAAACTCCAGCGTCTGCCCGTACGACTCGGTTTCCAATAGAACAGAGTTTGGTTTAAGATGACTCTGTCTTGGATTCTGTCCAGTGGCCTGCATTGTATTTGGTACTTGATATACACTGCTTTGTATGTTGTAGTCATTTTCCATTGATGTGCTTTTCCCCAACCACACTCCAATTATTTTTGAGAGAATAGTCTGTGACTTTCAGTTTTGTCTCCTGCAGTGACTAGCTTGTGGCATTTGTAGTATTTGTTGCTGGTTGTCTATCCTACATTCATCTGCATCTTCCCTTCTATTCAACTAATTCCAATTTATTCAGAAACCTTCTTCCCCACCTCTACCGGGTATCTCAGGAGAAACTGCTCCCCCCTTAGCTGTAGGGATGGATCTGGTTGGTCTAAGGGCACTCACCCTTGCTTATGATCAGCGGAGGACTGTGCAGAGAACCCCTGATAGTCCATCTGAGAGGGGCCTTGCTGGGAGCTTCTGAGAAAAGTGCCCTTTATCTTAAAAAACAACAGGGAGAGGTGAGGTGGTTTCTTTGCCTATGGACTTTGTCATTTGCAGCTGCAGGAGGTCCCCATCTCCAGTGGAGCATGAAGCCCAGAGAATCTCAGGGCAATGGCTGTGGCTTCCAGGTATGGGAGCAGTAAGTGTACTTCCAGTTTAAAGCAATACATGTACTTGAGGTAAGTGTCTGGTTACCTGCAGCCAAAGGCATCCTGAAGGACAGAGTTGCCATCAAGCATTTTTGATTGATATTAGTGCCAAAGGACTTCTTTGGAAGGAGAGATTAAAATTGAACTAAAAGCTCTAGTTCACTTTGATTTGGAAAGCAATTTCATACCAGTTGGAAAACTTTAAAGCATATATAGTTTATTTTTATTCCTGTATACTTTTTAATCAATGTATTTGCTAAATGTTATTTTAAGGTTTGGTGCTGTTCATGGTTGGAGGATACAAGATTAAAATATCAGGGTGCAGTAGGCTGGTCTGGTGTGCCGATAGCATGGACCCTGGGGCCACGAAGCCGTCCAGATCGTCCCCTCTTCTGAAACACATACCACTCTCACCTCCCGAGTCTCAGTTCTTTCTGCCCTTCCACTGCTGCGCCCCTTCTCTTCCTCTTCCTTTTTTTAAAAAAAATTCATACCCGAAAATATACTAATTGATTTAAGAGAGAGAGGAAGGGAGAGAAAGAGACAGACAGACAGAGACCAATCCATTGGTTCCCAGCTGCACCCCGCTGGAGGATCGCACTCACAACTTTTGGTGGATAGGACGGCCCTCCAGCCAGTGGCACTACCTGGCAGGGCCTCTTCCTCTTCCTTCTGGGTGTCTTCGTGTGATATGGGTAGGTGTGCACCGAGCTGGCTTCCCAGATGCAGGCTTCACTCTGCCCCAGCCTGCCTCTGAGTCTTCAGAACAGGACGACCCCCTTCACTGCTGGAGTCTATCCTTGAGCTCCCCCCGTTTCTCAGAGATCCTGTTTACTGCTTCATGACATGAGTGCAGGGTGATTTTGTTTCTCAGCAAGACTGCGTGCTGACAGCTGTGGGAATTCAAGCCCAGGAGTATGATTTCTTGCCTTTCCCCTTCACTCCCTTGATCACCGGGCATGGTCTACACCCTTCTCATCTCCCTGCTGCCCCCACAGACACTCAGTGTGAAGGGTTTATGGAGAACATTCTCTTCATTTCCGACACACTTCAGTTAGTTTTCCCTCCATCCTGAGGAAAAGACCCAATATTTTAGAATCTTAAACCTCAGCCTAGTAAGAAAAAAAATTTTTTTCTCTCTCCAGCCAACAGCCCAATATTTCTTAGCTGGTATGATGTAGCTTTATCCCCTATTTTTTAATACTGTGTTTCTTCAATTATCTTTCTCTTAATAGAGTCCCTTAAGGTACTCTGCAGAAAAAGGATTCCATAGACTATGTCATTGGGAAAATGCTGCCTTTTAGCACGTTATGCAGGTCCTGACAACCCTGTGCAAAGACAAGACAACTGTTTAACTTATTTGACCCTAACTGCCCCCACCTCTGCTCTCCCTCCACTTCTGCTGTCCTTGCCCCAAGGTCTACTCAGTAGCCTGAAACCCATCTGGGAGAACTTAAACTTCCCTGAACTCGTGTTTGAACTTTGCCACTTCTAAGTCCCATGTTGGGACTCATCCGGAACTCCACTCCCCGTTTTTGTACCGTAATGGCCAGCCCTGCCCCTGAGCTTAGTGCCCAGGAGTATCTGTGTGATAGTTTACTGTAATTCTGTAAAGTCCTGATCAGTGTGGCTCAGTTGGTTGGGGGTCATTCTGCAAAACAGAAGTCCACAGGTTCGATTATCAGGCAGGGCACGTGCCCTGGTTTGTGGGTTCTGTCCCTGGTTGGGTGCCAGAGCCAACTGATAAGTGTTTCTCACACACTGATGTTTCTCTCCCTCTCTTTCACCTTCCCTTCCCCTCTCTCTAAAAATAAATAAATAAAATCTTTAAAAATAGTTCCATATAAGAAGTTGGAGTGGAATGGTAGACACAACCTAACTTCACTTTATGCCCCAGGGTAAGTGCTTAGCGTTTGATTTAGCCTCATCAGGAACCAACATTCCTGAGACAGTCACTCAGCCTTGCAGGTGTCCTTGAAGTCTGCACCCAAGGCTTATTTAGCATAAGGTATGTGAGAAATGACTTTTCCTTGTGTAATGAGTGGTGGTCAGTGATCAGTTAGGACAATTGTCCAGGTGACACCTCCTGTGTGAAGCAGGTAGAAGAATCTGCAAGCTCTGGCAGCTGGGTGCCCTGGGGTTCCTGGGACCCCTTGCTGCCTGTGTTGGAAGCGGAAATAGGTGCTGGCTGAGGTGTGGGAGGGTCGGGACTTTCCCGAGCTACAGGAACCGCTCCTGTGACTGTGTTTGCAGGCTCGCTAATAAACATTCGACAGTTGGCTGCAGTTCATGTAAGAATTGCTTAAATCCTGTCACACACCTGTGGGCAGGGAGGTCACAGGGAGGGGCTGTCAGTCCTCTGCTAAACCCGAGGCTGCTGATAAGAACCACAGGGACAATTTGGCCTCAAAGCAGAGGGATCAAGGGCCACCCGCAACCCCCCTTCCCCACCTCTCGCAGGCAGTGTCAGCAGGATCGATCCTCACCCTGGTCCCCCCTGTTCTCACAGTGATGCTGACCAAGGCAGCGAGTTGTCAGCCACCCAGAGGTCTGACAGCTCCATGGGCTTTCATTTATTGTCTCCTCTCTGTTCCATGGAATAAAAGTGGCTGCACTGGGGACTTTTGGGCAACTAAGGTCCTCAGTGAAGGGACTCCCACATCTGCCCTCCTCCTGGAGCCACTGAAAAGAGGGGACCTTGGTGCTAGGCAAACACATGCCAGTGTTCTGCCAGTGTCCTGCCTCTTCCTCCTCCTCCTCCTCCTCCTGCTCCCCCCGCTGCCTCCATTGCCAGGGTTCTTGCAGGAGCCGTGACCCATGACTGTACCAGCAAATGCCATGCTGTTGCTCCTCCAGAACCCAAGCCTTCCACTCCAGCCCCTTGTGGTTAGTCCTCCCTTCTCCGTGCCCCAGGGACTGGCCTGCAGAGTGGGTCTGAGGGTAGTGTCCCTTCCATGGTCCTGTTGTGGAGGAGACTTGTTTACACGCAGAGGCCCCAGAACACTGCCCAGCACCATGTGAGCACTAAGTGTTCATTGTTTCCCTCTCTCATTATTTTTTAATTTTTTAAAAGATTTTATTTATTTAGAGAGAAGGAAAGAGAGGGAGAAAGAAAGGGAGAGAAACATCAGTGTGTGGTTGCTCTCAGGCGCTCCCTACTGGGGACCTGGCCTGCAGGCCAGTGCTCAATCCACTGAGCCGCACCAGCCAGGGCTCTCTCATGTTGAAGCTTTGTTCTAATAGTCAGGTTCATCACACGGGTGCTTTAGTCAGTTTTTTACTCATAAAACAGTCTCATTAATCCTTCTGTAAGGGTTACTTGCTCTTGGTTTACATGGAGTTCTAATAAGATCAATTTGCTTTCTTACTTCACGGAAGATTAGCAACACCAAATTAAAAAGAATCTGTGTCAACATAATCGAAGCAGCAGGAAGTGACTGCTGATAGTGACGGAAGTCATAAAAGTGTAAAAATCAGGCAAGAGAACTTCTAACTTCTTGGGCCATTTGGGTAAGGAAAAAAAAAGACAAAAATAGTCCCATACCTCAGTAGTTCTTGAATAGTAACATTGTTCTAAAAGCCTGGTGTAATGGCTGATGCTTCTAATAATGGCCCCGAGTTACCGAGAGATGATTAAATGGTTTGTAGCATGCTTGGGTGAATGAGGCAGGACAGTGTGTGATGAGCTTTAGAACTTCCCACGATGTGGCGGATGTGAAAGTCTCGGTGCTGGGAGCGATAAAGTATCCTTCTGTCATCTGTTAAGACAATTTATCTAACATGCCCAGCACCCAGACTGTACTGGATAAATGAGGCATCACCTCACAGGGTTACGGAAGTTAATGTTTGTAAAATACCCCCAGTGCATGAGAGGCACGCTCACTCACACTGTTGGAAACAGCTCCCACGACTGCCCCCTGCTGGAGCCGAAGGAGGGTTGCAGACACACCTGAGCACACACAGAGCCTGGAGGACAATGGAGCCAGGCAAGGGACTGATGCCAATCAAGAAAGAGCCCTCTCTGACTTCTGTTTTTAACTTCTTCTTGTCTTGCCCTAGAAGGCCTCAGCCACTGTTATGTTTTGCTAAGTGGGGAGCAGATGTGTTTTAGGGGTTCCAGGGAAAGGCTTGTGGACTATCTCACTTTGGGTGGCAAAGACTGTCACAGAGGTCTTTGTTCAGGCTTGCCTTGGCTTTTCAGCAGCAGCCAGACTTGAGGGGACAGTGGCCTGGAGCAGGGGCTTTGCCCCACCAGTGACTCAGGCATGACCCAGCCTGGGTTTTGATTTGTGTCTTTCTCAGCGACACATAGTTGGGAAATGGGTAATGGGTTTGAAGGTCTGTGACAAGTGATCTGACAAGAGCCAGGGCCTTGGATTCCTGCCCGTGCTTCCCCATTAAGGGGGAGGATGGTAATTACAGCCTGGCATTACTGCCATGGCGTTGCCATTTATTAAGCTCTTACTGTGTACCAGGTAGTGTGCACACACGAACACTTCAGCTCAGATGCTATCAACCCTACCAGGTAGATACTTTATATAATGGGAAGATCAAGACTCAGAGAGGTTAAGTGACTTATCCCAAACCACACAGCTCACCACGGAAGGAGCTGAAGTTGAGACCCAAAGAAGAGAAAGTGCAGCCATGTGCCAGTAAAGCTTCATTTAGTAAAATGGGTGGCTGGCCCGCAGGTGATCGTTTGCTGAACTCCGGGCCAATGCATTGTGAGCACAAGTGACACTTTTAGACAACCTCTGATCATGGTGTGTGGTGACCATGGAGGCACGTGTGGAAGGGAAGCCTCTGCCAGCGCGGGACCCCAAGTGAGCACAGGCA